GCCCCTCCTCCAGGCCCTTCCTGTGAGATCCAGCAGGCCCAGGCCCCGAGGTGGTCAGCCCCTGAGGTCTGCATCCTCCCCAGCAGGCTGCCCACACCTGGCACCATCATGCCCAGCTTTTGTCATTCAGCTCGACTCAGACACAAGGCCTGGCCAAGACACATGGGTCCGCCTGAGCATGCCGTCTGGGGTTAGTCTGCCCATCACCCCAAGTCTCTGGTTGTCTTATCGCTTCTGGAATGTGCCCCATGGGAAGAATCACAGCCTGGTGGCCCAGCAGGTTGGTGCCCACGGTCTCAGCAGTGGGCTTGCTGCCGAGCTTGCCCTGGGGCGTGGGTTAAGCCTCTAACAGGCTGTACCTAAGATGGACTGATGCTTCCCTGATTTGTTTTGGTTGCCTTCTGTCGTGCAGGGCTGTGGGGGGTGTGGGCTTCCCTTGCTTCTGTCGTGCAGGGCTGTGGGGGGTGTGGGCTTCCCTTCTGTCGTGCAGGGCTGTTGTTTGGGGGGCGTGGGCTTCCCGTGCTTCTGTCGTGCAGGGCTGTGGGGGGCGTGGGCTTCCCGTCGTGCAGGGCTGTTGTTTGGGGGCGTGGGCTTCCCTTGCTTCTGTCGTGCAGGGCTGTTTGGGGGGTGTGGGCCTCCCTTGCTTTCCCGGCTTCCTGACTGCCATACAGTGTCCTGGGAAGAAAGCTGTGCTGTGTCACAGTTCCGCCTGCTTAACCCACCAGAGTGGTTTTTTTTTGTGTGTCGGGGGGAGGGTCAGGTCGTGGGGCCTGAACTCTGGGCCTGGGCGCTGTCCCTCAGCTCTTCAGCACAAGGCTAGCACTCTACCACTTGAGCCACAGCACCACTTCTGGATTTTCATTTTTGCTTATGTGGTGCTGAGGAATCGAACCCAGGGCCTCATGCATGCAAGGCAAGCGCTCTACCACTGAGCCACCTTCCCAGCCCCCAGAGTGATTTTTTTTTGGGGGGTGCCCGTCCTGGGGCTTGAACTCGGCCTGGGCACTAGCCCTGAGCTTTTGTGCTCAAGGTTAGCACTCTGCCACTTGGGCCACTTCCAGCTTTGTTTTTTTTTTTTTTTTTTGGCAGTTAATTGGAGATAAGTCTCACAGACTTTTCTGCCCCCACTCGCTTTAAACTACAATCCTCAGATCTCAGCTCACCTGAGTAGCTAGGATTATAGGCATGAGCCACTGGGGCCTGGCCCCCCCAGAATGGTTTTAACTTGATGTCCCAGACCCCATCCCTCCACAGGAGGGAATCTCCCCAGGCTGAGAGGGAGCTCTGCGCCTCCCCCTCCACCCTGCTCTGCAGCCTGGGCCCCGCAGCACGCAGGCTTCCCGAGACCCCAGGTACCTGGGACCACTGCTCCTACATTTTCTGGTCTATGACTTCCTGCTTTTTGGGCCAAGGAGGGGGCAGGGCTTTAACTAGTAAACACTCTTAATATTTGAAAATTCAATTCAAATTTAGATTTGAAGATTAAAAGATTGAGTTTGGGGGGCTAGAGATAGGGCTTAGTGGTAGAGATCTTGCCTAGTATGCATGAAGTCCTAGGTTCAATTCCTCAGTACCACATACACAGAAAAAGCTGGACGTGGCGCTGTGGCTCATGTGGTAGAGTGCTAGCCTTGAGCAAAAGAAGCTTAGGGACAGCACCCAGGCCCTGAGTTCAAGCCCCAGGACTGGCAAAAAGAAAAGATTTGAGTTTTGGGGTTGGTGGCATGGCTCGGTAGAGTGCTAGCGGTGAGTAAAAGTGGTAGATACTGAGTTTGACTTTTAGAAAAATGATTTTTTTTTTTTTTT